ACTACCTTTGACTCCGTACATATTCATTCGGCAGTACCTTTATCTGCGTGCACTATCTATTTTTTAATTTTTTTTACATCGAAGTTATTTCTGAACTCGTTAACAGCTGTTATTGCTGCATAATTCAAAGCATTATCGGCAGTTATAAAATCGAATTCTCGTGAGCAAATAATTCTAGGCGCCCCTGTGCCGGTTTTTCTTCCCTGAGTTTGGATGCTGCCCCTTTTGAACGAATTTTCGACCTAATTTCGGAAATCTCTCCGTGTTTAAGAAGTTTCCGCGGCGTTCTTTCCATAAAGAGCAGTCTCTGCGGCGAACGCCGACGCCCAAATTCTGAAACGTTGTCCTGAAACGGTTTGTGCCTGTTCTTACTGCTTCCTTCTTCGTTTTTGTTAGTTACGCGGATTTTGAATTGTCGATTCTAGGATTGTCAACTTGAGGACTGCAAGGTAGCGGCGCTGCACGGACCCCATCCTCCGCCCCGGCGGCCATTATGACGTTCAGCGCGCCACCGGGCAGCAGTCCGTTGGGGGTGGGCGTAGGTCCTGCTCTCCTGACTGTCGCCCGGGTGCGGCTCCAATGCCGACACGTGCGCCCGCCCCGGAAGCGGGCGCGTCTGGGCCTCGATCGGGGGAGGAGCGCAGAAGGTCGCGCAGGAGGGCGCCCACCAGGGCGGCGGCGTCGTAGATGTCGGGAATACAGCTGTCAAGGAGGCATGGTTTCCCGGTTCAACCGCACACGGACGGAAGTTTGCGTAAGAAATCTTTGGCTTTCAAATCGCAGGGAAATGACCTGATATATAATACCAAATTCGTGCATTTAATATTCATTGTAAAATTTAAAACCTCTTAAAACCGAGGTTTGATGTAAGGGGAATCTTCGTATTATGTGCGTTTATTTGCAAAATTTATAGAAGTTATAGAAACAATTATCGCAGCAGAAAGCTTGCAAAGCGCTTTACTAAGCGATCAAGCTTTTATCACGCATACTCGTGCACACAAAAAAATCACATATTGATCTTTTCGGTACTCAGCACTGTCTACATTGAACTGTTGGTACACCTGGATGCGTTTTTTTTAGCTTTTTTACAGCCAAAAACCCCAATCGGATATTTCACGCATCGCAATGTAAGCAAATGTATTAGACAATAAAATGTCAACACTTCGAAGAAAATATTTGGAAATGCGGGTATTTTCACTCCAGCTTCATCTTAGGACGTTAACATTTTTTTATGTTAAAATCAGAATCTGTTAAAAATTTCTTGTGTTGTAAGTGCTCAGCATAATACATAATAAATTACTCACGATTTGTTTTGGAAAAAATAAGCGCTGTGGAGTGACTGCTGTGCGATTGAGCTCAGGTTGCAGCTGTTTTGCTGTCGACAGGATGTGGATTACAGGAAAACCGAATCACAGCCGATCAACAATTTACAGAGAGGAAAAAGTGTGGATCAGCACAGATTTCAAGATATGCGAGACAGAGACACTTTCTAATCTGGATAGGTATTTTTCAGATAGAGCCTCATTATCCGTCATTATTTAAAATAGGGGCACCTGATGTCCCAACGTTTGTCCTGCGTCGACTGTAGAGTCTGCCATAAAAATGGAACATTTACCATGCCAAAAAAAGCAGTGCTAACAAACATTCAAGTAACTTGCTTGGGAGTATCAATCACAAGCGACTAACATTCATTTTCAAAACACGTTTTACGGGCTTTTTTGGCAACCAGCACAATCGTCTCCCTGACGTCTGCGACGCTCAGCGCCAGCACAATGGGATCGACCACCGACTGCGAGGAGAACATCATCGCGCCAATCTGCAGCCACACATACGGCAACTCCACTTTAAACACCAGCTGGATGGTGAAGTACGACACTCCCGGCGTCCAGCAGATCACCACACTGAACGTCAGAAACACCAGCACCACCAGTGCTCGTTTCGGCTCTCTCCGGGATGTTTTCCTATCCACAACCGGCATAGTGTTGGAATGGTGCTCCGTATGACTGGACACGGTCCTTTGATTTATGTATTTCATCGCGTTATGAATTCTGTCCACTTTACCGGCTAGTTCTCTTCGCATGAATTTCTAGAATTCAGTCTTGACCATCGCTCAGTCTTGACCATCGCTCAGTCTTGACCATCGCTCAGTCTTGACCATCGCTCGCACCGTGCTGCACGCTTTCGGTTAGACTGACTAAACTGAGTTAACTCCACCATTTGCTTGTGTGATTACCAAATATTCGGCGTTTCCGACGGAAATTTGCCAGTATTCCACCCGATCACCCTTGCTCTCCGACTGACCATCAGACCGAATTTCAAACCCTTCTTGTTTTTTTGTATGCGTTCAATTTTTGTGTGAAAATGGCTTCCGCTTCTATCCGTATTGTGAATTACAATATCGAAAGTGTTGATGATTTATATAATTTACTATCCGGTATTATTGCTAATGACCAACTCTCACCCAGTATCGATCAGATATGCCAGGAAAATTGTTCCCGTCCCAAGATCATCGCGCCAGACTGGGAATCGCTCCCTGCTGAAGTAGTTGTCAGGTTTGAAAATTTCATTGGTGATATTACTTCTCGGCTTAAAAGCGCTGAATTACTAGGTCACATTTCTGCAGATACTGTTATTGAATTATTAACTTGGTCTTTAGCCAATTATTTTATTAAAATTCTTAAATGTAAAACTGCTTCGAAATCGACTTTTTTTGATAAAATTATGAAGCGATCCGTTCCCCGTGAATTAATTGATGAAAAATTTAAAATTGCCGGTCGCATCACTAAAATCATTCGTAAACGTAGGCGACTGCAGGCGCGTGGTTTTCAACTGCCTGAAGAGGATGCGTTTGCGTTGCAGCATCTCCGTGTCTTGAACAAAAGGTTGAGCAATCGGATCTCTGAACTGAAAAAAGTGTCAGAAATGGAGACTAATGAAAAGTTTTTTCTTAAAAATCGGTATGCATTCATTAAAGAAAAATTTTCAAAAACCGGTGACGCTAATTCTAACTGTCTCAGCAAGGCCGATGTTGAATCCCATTTCGAGAAAACGTACAACCCGGATGCCTGTGAGCCGCTGAATTTGTCTTGGCTTAATGAATTAAAATCTCCTGAAATTTTCATGTCTTTTAACGACTCTCCAATTTTGGGCAGGGAAATTAATCGTGCACTGAAGAAAAAATCAGGGCGTACTGGATCGGGGCTTGATGGACTGGGATATGGTGTTTTCAAAAATTTTCCTATACTGCACAATTTTTTAGCAGCGATGTATAATAAAATTATCTCCACCGCTACTCCGCCAGTTTCTTGGAAAGTTGGTCGCACTATTCTTTTGTACAAAGCCGGTGACGCTGGCGATTGCTCTAACTATCGGCCAATTACCCTAACCAGCTGTTGCGCAAAAATTTTGCATACAGTTATCTCGAACCGTATCCTTTCTTTTGTTCAAAAAAATAATATTATTGATGTCTCGGTGCAGAAAGGTTTCATCGAATGCATGAACGGCTGTGGGCAGCATTCGATGAAACTGCAACATATCATCGAAAAACAGCGTAAGCTTAAGCATGCTTTGCATGTAGCATGGCTTGATATTGCAAATGCTTACGGTTCAGTGAGACACGAGCTGTTAAAAGATGTTCTCTCCCGCTATAAAATCAGCGCGTCTTACATCAATTATATTCTGGCCTATTATGACGGCTTAACTGTTAAGGTGCAAAATAATGATTTTACCACTAATCCCATCCCCTTTAAAGTTGGCCTGTTCCAAGGTGATTCAATGAGCTGTATCCTGTTTCTTCTGTGTTTTAATCCGGTACTGGAGTATTTGAAGCTGAAAAACAATGTCGGCATTGAAATCGAAAACGAGAAAGTGGTCGCCCTTGCTTTTGCCGATGATCTGACTTTAATAACAAACAATAAACGTTCTATGGATAAGCTCTTGCGTGAAGTTAACGTTCGAATGGCAAAGATGGGCCTTTTTTAAAAGTTTCGAAATGCAGGTCTTTTTCTTTAATAAGAGGTGTCGCTTCTGATACTGAATTTTTTGTTAACGGAGTTGCTGTGCCTAATATAAAATCGGAACCAATGAAATTTCTTGGTTCGTATGTCTTTTCAAATAACCAGCGTCGCAACGCTCATAAAAGTATCAATAATTGTTTAATGGATTTGCTTCTAAAAACTGACCAGCTGTCTCTTCGTGATGAATTTAAATTGTGGATTTACAATAGGTACTTTCAGTTCTGACTGCCTTATGATAATGCAGCCCAACAGCCTGTGCGTCACGGTCCTATGTGTCATTCAGAGATAACGCAAGCGTTGTGCATTGGTTTGTTGCAACAGTCAACACATGCCCACTTTAAGGCAACATTGCCAAACGGAAAATCTAGTCTCGACTAGATTTTCCGTTTGGCATCGTTGACTTATCCATGCATTGTGCGTGTTACACGTTACACGATGTACACGGTGAGTGCAATGCAACTGCACTGCATTGCACGTTAATGTTATGTTATCGACGCTGTGTAATAACAAAATCAGATTTAACATAATTACATCGCAGAGAGATGCATATGCTACCATTAATTTAATAACTTTGAGATGGCATTCATTACTAATTAGGTGGTAATTTTGCGCAATAATTATTAATTAAGCAATATAAAAGCAAACTCGATAGTCATTCAAGACGGCTAATTAGCTATCCCGATGTACTGAAGATAATTGGATATACAGTAACATTTTCGCGCTCTTTTTTTCCATGTGCGTTGTGAAGATGCATAAAGTACATGTACGCAGTTGTTTATCAACAGGCTTACTTAGCGTAAGTTCGGTCATTCACTTATCGCGGCAGTGACAGTTGGTATGTTATCGCATTATTGGATAGTTTTTTACGCGTCATTTGTTGTTACTCACTGCCACTTGGCTTTTTGTAAGTCTGACTTGCGGTAAGTCAACAGAAATGAATCTCTATAATAACTATATTGTTCAGTCAATCCGTTTCCTTTTAACTGTACACGATCTGAATCCGGCAGCTGTTGATAAGTTGCAAACATTGAGCAACAAGTTTTTGCGTAAGTGGCTTCGCCTCCCTCAGTGCGCTAACACTGATTCCTTGTTTCTACCGCAGGGTGCTAATTTCAAATCTATCAAAACCATCTATTACCAAGCTAGAGGTGGTCTTATTGTTGATTGTCTAATCTCTAGTACTGACCCAGTAGTTCAGTGTGCCGCCGAGGAGGCGATACAATCGCCGTCTAACCCCATGCACCAGTTTGCCCCCGTTATTCAGGCTGAGGCTGATAGCGCCCGTGCTGCTATTGTGGCAGGCGATGGCAGCACCGCTGCCTGTAACAAAGCTCGTGCCACTGCCAAAGACAATGTGTCTTCCCATGTTCACTCCATCATCACACTGGAGCGAGAACAACACGTGGCCAGTCTTGTACAACAAGGTGCATGGCTGCGTGTTGCTAATGAGGAAGACGCCGACAGTTACTGGTCTTCCCTGAAATTCGACCTACCACGGAGCACATGTTCTTTTCTCACCCGAGCTCGACTAAATGTCGCTCCATCTTTTACCAATCTCCACAAATGGGGCAAACTGGTAACTCCTAATTGTCCATTATGCGATAATGCTGCTGGCACACTTGGTCATATACTTAATGGTTGTCCAGTCTCATTACAGTCTGCGCGCTTTACATGGAGGCACAACAGTGTCGTCAAAGCACTGGCTGACGGATTAACTGCTGCAATCAAGGACACCGACAAGCACACCGAAGTCCTGTGTGATCTAGCGCCTGATTCCTATTCTTCGCATGTTGACACTATTCCTTCTGACATTCTCACAACTAACGTTTTCCCTGATATTACTGTAATTAATAGGTCACTGAAACGTATCGATATTGTTGAAATAACAGTACCTTTTGAATCGGTAGAAAGTTTTCGCAACGCTGAGTCTAGGAAAAGTACGCGATACGCCAGTCTGCAGAACGATCTTGCAGGACTAGGTTGGACTGTAAAGCAACATCATATTGCTGTGGGATCTTTGGGAATGATTCCCAAAAGTACCAGTCATAGTTTGACCTGCTTGTTGAAGCAAATATCTGGTTGTAATTCTAACACTTCCTCCTTAATTTGTAAGAAAATGGCTAAAATTGCTCTTTGTTGTAGTTATGCTGTCTTCAATAGGCGCTCGGATAAACTGTGGCTTCCACCTGGCCCAACTAAACTTTTCAGTGTCTAACTGGCGCTTATTACGTAATATAATTATTAAAAAGTCATAACTTTTGAAAATTTCGGTTTTTTCCAAAACTTTACTGAAGGCATATTTTTAATATTGAATGAAAGTCTGATGGGTAAATCTGAAAAATTTCAACGTTTTTATAACTTTCCAACAAATTTCCACGTTTTGGTTTCTGCTTCCCAATATCAATTCTCTCATAGCTGCACTATAGGGGTTGCGAAAGCTAAGCTATATCCACTGACTGTCGAGTCTGATGCGAGTTTAACACTCACTATGATCTCAATTTCGCCGGCTAGCTCTCTCTGCGCCGTATCTCTCTCGTCTTCACGCTGACTCGTTTCAAGCTCATACTTCACTTTTCCTTCTCCCATCAAGTGCGCACAGTTTTTGCGGTCAGCAATCGCAATCCACCGAAAGCGACGTGCCTGCCCTTCGCCAAGCGAGTGCATGAGTATACATGTTTAGTAATTATGTTCGTTTTTTTATGCGGTTGGTGTGTTGCATTGTAGCTTGCCATACATCCTGCATAATTTATATTGTGATCGTCCTTTCCTTACTCTTAACCACTATAATCTCTGCTTTAATTTTTTTTTTCTAGGAAAATACCAAAAAAAAGATTCATGTGTAAAGTAGAGGAGAGCAAGCGGTCTTTTACCTTATTGCAGTTTCGTTGCACAAGTTTTGTTTACAAAACTTTTCAAAAGAATAGGTTATGCCTTTTCCCTAATTTGTATTAGGGGTTTTTTGCCGCATAACAGCAAATGGAACTCAATAAAGGGTGTTATATATATACTTAGCTTGCTACAGCTTGCACCGTCTAATTAACGGTGCTCTAATTGCACCGTATAACTGCATCGTCTAACATTGTTCTAATCTCTTGCTCCGTTTCTTGAACGCCCTTGTCATTAAATATGCCTTGAGTTACCTTGTTGCGTTCGAACGATTGGGATGAACCAGCGTCTGTAGCCGGCAGAAAGGTGGACGGGTGGATGGTGGATGTTCAATGAAATCGCATCCACCAATCTGCCGACCTTCGGCAGATTGGTGGATGAGCCACCTCTTCTGCCGGATCGTATCCACCTTTCTGCCGAAGGTCGGCAAGTGGACGAGCCATCTTTCTGCCGGAGCACATCCACCTTTTCTAAGGCATCCACCTTTCTGTAGACAATCGATCGGCGTCGATTGATGTGACAAGGAAGCCATTGAGTGCATTCAGGCCCATTGTAAGATCAGTCAATGCATGCGTACACTGCTCCGGCAGAAAGGTGGATGCGATCACCCAGATGTTCCTATCACTCTTTCTAAACATAACCTGCACCTTTAATAAGTATCATGTCACAAGTACAAACTTAGTACTAGAAAACATTAATCTCATAACAGAAACACTTCCTCAATGCTATCCTGATCGGGAATTGTACCCATTACACAAATCGCATTCCCCCGTTGTATCTGGATAGAGAGCCGCTGTCTAAAAAACTTTCTAAACATGTCATCCTACTCGTTTTGGTTCTCCGGAGAGATTTGTTTTTATTTTCGAAATTTAGTTTAAACCTACAGCTAGGCGAGGAGAGAGGAAAAAATGTGGTCTTCACTTTTTCATCTGCGGAGACAGCGAGCTGATTGACGAGGAGTACGGTGCTCCTCGCCTAGCTCTAGGTTTAAACTAAATTTCGAAAATAAAAACAAATCTCTCCGGAGAACCAAAACGAGTAGGATGACATGTTTAGAAAGAGTGATAGGAACATCTGGGTGATCGCATCCACCTTTCTGCCGGAGCAGTGTACGCATGCACTGACTGATCTTACAATGGGCCTGAATGCACTCAATGGCTTCCTTGTCACATCAATCGACGCCGATCGATTGGTTCGGCAGAAAGGTGGATGCCTTAGAAAAAGGTGGATGTGCTCCGGCAGAAAGGTGGATGGCTCGTCCACCAATTTGCCGACCTTCGGCAGAAAGGTGGATACGATCCGGCAGAAAGGTGGACGGCTCATCCACCAATCTGCCGAAGGTCGGCAGATTGGTGGATGCGATTTCATTGAACATCCACCATCCACCCGTCCACCTTTCTGCCGGCTACAAGCGTCATCCCAATCGGAGCCACCTGTGTAATTGTGTCAGATCAGTAAGAGCGTCTTCGGCCAGCATCGTTGCCAGCCGTGCCATTTTTCATCCTAGCAGCCGACAGATCGTGGTAAGGTACATTTTAACCTACCCACTGCTCTAGAACAGCAGCCAGATAGGCTGTTGGTACAGTATATTTTCGGTTTTATCAACTTCTTCTATCTTCGTTTTTTAAGAAAATTTATCTAGTCCAAAAAATAAAAGTTACGGAAATGAATAAACAGAAACTTTATTAAGCGCAGTGATCTGAAGCTTGCAGCGGGCAACTGGGGAAGCGCGCTTCCACTGCTGCACACACAAACTTCAGCAGTTTGCAACTTTTCGCTGTCGTTGTCACGCCAGAGGACGCGAAAATTACGAAATCGAGGTACCTAACCCTTATCACAAAAATGATTAAGCTTTTTTTGTGAAATAAGTAGCAGGACCAAAAGCCTGTATGGGGGAAGAGATTGCAAATCGTTAAAAGGGTTAGCTTAAGCGCATTCCAAACTCCACAAAGAAAATCATGCCATTGCGCATCAATAGCAAAGCTCCGCTGTCTGAGCGGTATTTTTCTTAGCCTAAATTTTCTTAGACCGGTTTTTTAGTGCTCATAATGGCGTTGCTGCAGTTAATCGGCGCAAAAAGTTCATCGTGCGTGTAACCGTCGTTCCTCAGTCCTCCCACGTTATACACACTGCCTACTGTTCGATTCTGAATCAGATACGGATTCCTGGCTATCCACGCACGATACCATACAGATACACGAGCCGGATCGCAGTGAATGTGACCAATGGGCCTTGTGTCACCTGGCAAGGCAACTGACGATTCGCCGTTTTTGCCGTGCACTGGAAGACGAAAATCGTCGTCATCGACGTCATCGTCGTCATCTGAAGAACTCCAAAACTCCACCTTAATCACCCGAAGATCCATCAGATAGAAGAAGCTGTCGGCTTCCAGCAATGCAATTCGACACCCAACGATAGCGAGTATGCGAAGCTTCGGAGAAGTGGTGAAATCCGTTCGCTGGATAGCGATATTCACATTTAAACGACAATGGTTTACACAAAAATCAAGCATATTGGTCAACATCATTTCACGAAGCTTGCCGGTGGCTCGGCTGCTCTCCGCAGATATTAGCTGGAACCGAATGATTTGTTTACGAATGGGTTGCAACAGTTCACCAGTAAAATTCTTGGAGTCTTCCCAAAAAGCGGCTATGTTGCGGATGGGTGGCCGGGCCAACGCTTCAGTGACAGCTCTAATTCCGTCTGGGTCTGATTTCTGTGAGATATGAACGATTTCGTACACGTTAAAGTTTTCGAGGCATGTTTTTTTGCTTGTACCCACAGTATTCTGCCGTATTCCACGGTATCCTCTACGAATCCCTCATGTATCCTTACAATTTTTTGACGTCTGTTCGATTGTTGCCGTATCACCCCGTATCTCTGCAGTATCCTCTATGTATCCCACATGAACCCCGTTAAAAAGCCTAAGAAACCTAAGAACACTAAGAAAACATACTAACGGGATACATGGAGGATACCCAAAGGATACCGTGGGGATACTATGGGATACGCTAATTAAAAAGCATGTCCAAATTAACAATATTTCAAATACGTGCCGAATACATACTAAGTTATGTAGCCAGTATCCCATCGTATCCCATGCCACAGTATCGTTTACGTATCCTTCATGTATCCTGTTGAATACAGGTTTAAGGGTCATCAGTAACTGCAGTATCCCGAACTTATCTTAACGTATCCTTACTGTATCCGTCGAGTAACCGGATAGCACTTACATTTGGGATGCACATAATACGGTGCAATAATGCAGTAACTAAAGCAAAGTAGAAAATTTGAGGGATACATGAAGGATACGCAGAGGATACTGTGGAATACGGTGGGATTCTGTGGATACAACTAAAAAAACATTCCGGAAAAAATTGAACGTGTACTAACCAAGCCATAGGTGTATTCCTGGCAAGTTAGCTTGTAAAATAAAACTGTGTCTTTGCTTTGCCCCTGGGTGCAGTTGGCATGAAAGTCGTAGATTGAGCACCCGCTCTCGGACGAAGGTTGCTGTCCGCACTCTTCAGGTGTCCAGGTCAACACAGGGCGACGGGGCAGTGGGTAGACATAGTCTTCCGGATGGGAACTGCGATCTGGAAGGTTCGTGTGTACATGTACTCCTGACCACAATGCAGGCAGTTTAAATTAACAGATTCTAACGCCAAACGGTTCAGAAGATCTTCCAGTGAACCGATTTTTCCTACCCTGAGGCTCATCCTGGGCAGCAGAAGTAACATCCGAAGCCAAGCTCGCAGTGCTCGGTGGGACGCAAACCTCTTGCGATAATTTTGGGAGTGACTTGGCACTGCTGGCGCTGCCTGAATTCTCTAAATGCTGATGCTAATTACTATCATTTTCATGTTTGCACTTTTAATGGAAATAACTCACAACACGATAACGTAACAGTTGCCGAAGATAATACTGTTGAGAGGAATTCTAAGCGGCGAACCTTGCATCGCGGACGCCATCGTATCGGAAGCGGGGCATATCCCTTGCGTGCACCTGAAATCTGTATCGGTGGGCACGTTGCACCTGAAGCGCTTGTAAATCCTGGCCAAGTCTAGTGGACTCAGATTCTCGTTCTGTCCCATTTTCATTCCCCTCACTAACGGTACTATGGTAGGGAAATTCGGGTCTTTAGCGAAGGCTTTCAGTTCGTAGTGCATAATCGACTGGTAGTCGTAGGGAAGGTCAAATGTCACGCCTTTACGCTTCTCAAACTGGACTTTGTCCTCTAAAAAACCCGATCGTTCAACAATCTAGCTGCAGAATCGTCGACACGTTGCCGAAACTAAAACGTCTGTAATTTTAGGAAATAGTTTGTTTTTTTTTTAAATTTGTTGTTCCTGACGTGCCAAAGGATTTTATCAAGCAACAGCACAAAACGTTGCTACTTTGAGAATTTTGCGCACCTGCCGCAATGTTATCCCAGTTGATGATAACGTGGTCATCCCGATCGAGGCGTGACTGTTCGTGGTAGAAACCCAGCGTGTGCATCAGCTCGTGCTGGATGCAGCCGTAATGGGCTATGCAACTCGGTGTCAGCTGTATTAACTGCTTCTGTCCCGTCCGACCGATATTCGACGAGCATCTGAAATGAATGAGTTGCATTTACTGCAAATAACGGTGAGTATCTCAGAATTTTTGATTGCGCGTAGCTACTGATGACTCACTGAAAGCTTTTTTGAAATTTAACGTAATCAAGGTGGTAAGTACGAGGCACAAATTTGACACAGTTGCCGGTGAAATGCATGATAATATCCATCGCTTCCTTAATCATTCTCGTTTCCGATGAACCTAAAATGAGCGCTGTGTTCGCAAAATATTTGAATTATTTTGAATCGTTATACACTAAAGGAATTCTTGAACCATAGTTTGAACGTCAAATGGATTACTGAATGCCGCCGAAGTTTGCGTGGTGAATTCATAGGGAACAGTATTGTTGGGCCACAGCAAAGCGTCGTTGTCGACCGCATTGGCGGCGTAATTCCCTTTCACCTTCAAAAATACCGCTCACGCATTAGCGATATCTTGATAATAAACGAGCAAATAAATAACGAGCCGATACCTCTTCGAAATCAATCCCTGCAATGTCGCCCTCCCAGTAGTCGTTGCTGTATCGCGATTGATCGTTACTGTCTGCCATTGTATCGGCATCAACGTACTGTCTCCAGTCTGCAAATATAATAAAATTATTCAGAAAACTATAGTGCTTAAATGTCTTTGAAAAACATCAGTGATGGTAGAGGCAAGTTACGGAACTGAAAGTTATTTTTAAATTACTTTCTGGTAGCGTTCGGGCAGTGGAAGAACCACAGAGGAGGACGAGTAATGCGATTCCGCATCTCAATCCGAAGTGCAACATTATCGCTGCTTTGCAGTGGGTACCCTGACAAAATGGGTTCGCACGCTATCTGAACTGCGCAGAAAGTAATGCCGACTTGCTGACTCAGAATACTACGAGAACAAAATATGCCATCGGATTATACTCGTACGTATATTTGCCGCTGTATTTTCCTTGAGCGCTCGATTTGAAACCATGTGTGATCATGTAACGTGAACCGCTGCGAGCAACACGTAATTACAGTTTTTGCCTATTTCCTGCAGAACTGGTTTCCAAAAATTAAGAAACTCCTTCGATTTTGTCATAAGAAATAAGATAGATAATATGAACACAGCAGTAAATTATAATCATTTTAACAGACTGTCCTATTGAAACTTTGTTTAAACGAGCAAACAGAAAATCAAAGATTTTTCAAACTGCAGTTACCAGTAACTGCCTTCCGCCTCATACGACTACCTTGTTATTCGCCACTATTACGATCACTTGTTTTCGTATTTATGATCGATTCCTTTACTGATGCCATCGCCTACCGCCTAAGATGCCAGTTTGTCATCCCTAGACTTTTTCCCTTCTGGAAATCATAGTTACGTTTAACTGTATATTTCCAGCAGAGAAAAAAAAACCTGAACCTTGCTTCTGGCTTTCGCTTAGTAAACGCTCGCGCTCATAAAGCAAGCATATTTAAATTGCTGCAATATGTATATTGACCGCGAGCAGTCACTGCAACCGTTGCGGATCCATTTGCCAGATGCGAATGCCAATCGCATTTCGCAGAATTAATTGAATTACTCCTAAAGGGAATGCGGTTAGCCGTTAGGGGTTATGTAATGGCAGCGAAGGCTGGGTACACCGCTGTTTTGTTTTACCGTCGGCATACTTCCGCAATTTTGGTCGCGAACAATCGCCCGCCGGAACCGATAATAACTTCGGGAAATTTTTTTTTATCAAGCTAAGTTCTTCGATCGGTCTTACGTGAATATTGCTAGGGAGCTTATCCCATCTTCAGCACTTCACTTGCTATCGCAAAAACTGTGCGGCTGTTTGCTACAGCAGATGCGCATATTTGCAGGAAATGTTTCAAGCTGCGTGTTTATAGTAAAGAAGCCTATTTCGATTTAAGTGTACTCGTTGGCCAGTTTCGCAATTTGATTTTCTAACTGCATAACTAAACGCACTAATAAACACTAAAGATTTTTTCTGCATAAAGGCATAAACGCGTAAACGCATAAACTGGTGCACAAATAAACAATAAAGATGAGTTTTGCAAATGCATAGTGGATAAATAAACGGTAAAGTTTCGTTTTGTATGAATCCGCGCATGACTAAACGCGAAAGATTCACTTTGAATAAATGCATAAACACGTACATAAATAAACGCGAAGGGTTCATTTTGCATAAGTGCGGAAACGGGTGCAAAAAAATCCGAAAAGTTTTTCCAGTGTCTGTTGCGGACTTGGCGACAATCCGCCGGTTGCAAGAGAACATTCTTTCAAAATGCCAAAATGCTGGAGACGGCAAACTTAGCATTTTGCGGTTACACAAACCGAATCCCGCCGGTTGGCCGCCGAAACAGTTTAGTTGCTTCAACTCTTCACATATTTTGCCAAATTAAAAGTGCTGTTCGGCAGTTTATTTGCGAGCGGTAAAATTATCAAACGTTACAACACATCACTACTCTACGCACTTTGCCACCGCACTACTGACACCGCCGAACATAAACTTCCACTGTCGGCTAAAAGCATAATTATAGAGTCTACATTTTGTTCGCAGTCTGGAAGCCATTTAAACATCCGCAGCACCGGGGCTGTTGCTGTAATCCGACCAGACGCTTTCGTTGACGTTCACGGCCTGG